ACCAGACGTGGTGATGGCGAGAAAACCATGAGCGATGACGACCCAGGAGGACACACGGGCGCCGGCGTCGGGGCGTCGAATGTTTCGATTTATTTCCACGAGGCACAGCGCCCAGCACAGTTCACGACAGCAACATGTTGCGAGTATCAGAAAAGAGCCGTGGGAAACAGGTGCATGCAATTCAGCCCCGACGGAAAAGAAATCGCAATAGAATGACGCTTAACAGTAGAAYAGTCCAGGAACACAAAGGACCYCTGTCAAAGACAGCATCATTCTTTTTTTTTTCGAAAACGGGACGTAACATGGCAATCTGGGAAAAGTGTGGCCAGCATTACAGAAAGTGCGCCCGCGAACACCGTCAGGAAGCAACCCCAATGAAGAATCTCACTTCGCTCTTTCTGTCTCTCACTCTACGCTTTCTTTGTTAGTGTATGGCTGGCGCTTTATGTATCACCGTTTTAGCTCTTCGCGTCTTCTGTCTTTCTAAGTGTTTGTGGAAAGCAGAATAGTAAACAGCAATGGTCACAAAGAGTCAGGAAGCAACCCCAATGAAGAATCTCACTTGCTTCTTTCTGTCTCTGACCGTGATGTTTGACATTGTTTGTTGCTATCTTAGCTTTCTTTCAGTATTTTTTTATTTTTTTTTTCCGTCTTTAACGTTTTGAGATCATGATCGTCGTTCTCTGAAATCATCAACACCAGCATCCGAACTGACAAAAACCAAACACAACATCACAGCCGTTTCATAGCGAGAAACACGCGGACAAAGCCATTAGAGAAACTCAATTTTATCGATCAAATGAAGAACGGTTCATGTAACGTAACCGATTACAGAGCCCACACGTGAAATTCCCTGTCTCCCTCGGTATCTACCTCTCCTTCTTTCTCCGTCCCCAAGTGCAATCTCGGAGTACCAGTCATGTAATGCAAGGGCAGTGCATATCAATCGGCCAAGGGCAGTGCACAACGGGATCCGTAATCCTAATCGTTGTGCAGAACCAAAAGCATTGTCATCGGAGTACAAAAGGGGCCTCGCAATGAGTTGGCATACACGCGCAACTACTCTTCAAGGATTCGAAGAACATTATCATCGTCACCGACAAAGAGTAGAAAACAGAATCGCTAAAGTAAGCAGTAAGACCGGCAACACAYGCAATCTAAATATTCAATTTCAGCGATTGGATTAACAACAGGTCGACTTATGTTGACAGGTGACACCGCCCTCAGCTCTCTCTCTCTCTCTCTCTCTCTCTCTAGCGTCCCTCCTCGGCCTCACGTGCGACGCGGAAATGCACGAAGGGTGCAGGATACCGAATGAGCAACCAGCCCAGGTCAACACTTAAATAGTGCTGCACTGGGCCAGCATCTGGTCACAATGTACCCGGGACCGCATGCCCACTTCCTGTCGGACCGAAATGTGAGCAGCAGTACGTCGGGCCAGGATGTTGGACTTCTGCTGTGACTTGACCAATGGGACT